CCCCAAAACCCCAAAACCCCAAAACCCCGAATTGACCTATTTATAATGAAATTGTAAAATTACAAATTAAAATAAAATGAGGCCATATAACTCTTACATCATCAGAAATAATAGACTAGCAGATCAATAGGACACCTTACCTCCTAATCCAATGGTTGATTCTAAGAACTATGACAAGATTTTTGAAGTTTTCATTGACTCCTTTTCTGGAGCAACTGGAGGATTCTTTGCTTCATTGATGCTCTACCCTCTTGAAAATTTCAGAACAAAGCTCTAAGCATTGTAAGTGATTGACATCTATTAAATTCTTAAAAAATTATCACTATAGAACTAAAGAAAATTAGAAATAAGAAAGTATTTTCAAAGAAGATCTACCAGATGATGGATCTCAAACACATAGAAAGACTCATCAATCTGAATATTTCAAGGAGCTTAGGTATCTGAAATAAATAATAGAAAAAGATGGAATTACAAGTTTATACAAGGGACTATCATCAGCATTAATAGGAACCGTGTTTTCCTATGGGATTTACTTCTGGTGGTACAGATTCTTTAAAAACTTTTTTAAACTAGTCCTCAAGCGAACTGAATTGTCAGATCTTGACATTACTATTATCACTACTATTGCTGGAGTTGTTAATTCTTTTTTAACTAGTCCAATCTGGTTTATAAATGCTAGAATGGCCACAAGCAAAGACAAGAAAGGGTTGATACAAACCATATTAGAGATTTACAAGACTGAAGGTATTTCAGCATTCTATAAGGGTGTGCTACCAAGCATGATCCTTGTGTTAAACCCAATTATTAACTTCGTAGTCTATGAAAACCTCAAGAAAATTCTACTTAAGAATGAGTTCTCATTGAACTTGATATAGCTATTGCTTATAAGTTCAGTAGCTAAGACAATCGCAACAATATTTACTTATCCAATCTTGACTGTTAGAGTCAAACTCTAGACAAATAAAGAAGAGTAGAGAGTTAGTACTTTAAGATTTGTTTTGGACTTATTAAAAGAATCTGGTCTTGAAGGATTATATCTTGGTGTTTATGCTAAATTATTTTAAACTGTATTATACAATGGATTTCTCATGGTAGCTTATGAAAGACTTAGACTGTTAATCAAGTATATGCTGTTTTAATACTTAAAAAGAAGAAAGCTCATTACTGAACAATGAAAGGAACATTATTTGAAAATAGATAATTCCCTATAAATTAATCAATTAAAATTCTCTTTTAAATTACTAAATGGCAACTGGTGGGGTTTTGGGGTTTTGGGGTTTTGGGG